CAGCCCCGCCTTCCCGGTCCCTGCGTCCTGCGCATCTGCTGGCCGGGGTCGTCCGCCTCCCGCCGCCGGGCGCCGTGAACTCCCTCCCGCTGGGCGTTGGCGTCCCTTGGCTGCACCGGCACCCAGCTGGATCGCCGAGCGGCCCCCGGTGCGGGACCGGCCAAGGTTTCTTGAACGAAGCTCGGCAGACGACCCTTGGGGATGGAGGGCTGACGGGCCCGGCGGGAGCGCCCGCGACGGGCACCGGGTGCCGGCAGGCGCCGTGACCGAAGCTGGACGCGAGGGGACACCCGAGACCTGCACACCCAGCCCCGGCCCCGGGGCCGGGCTCCTCTGGCTTGGCATTTTCCCCTCCCCTTCTCCCCCCTGATGTGGGCTTCCTGGACACGCACGTCCTCATTTTCATTCTTTGAGCCAGAAAAGCACAACTTCACACCCGAGCACAATTAAGTGATACAGAATATGATTGGGGCCTTTATTTGTGTGCGAAGGCGGCTTTGTGGGCCTGCCGTCACCTTGGATTTTCAAGAATCCATTTTCTTAAAACTCAATGTGTCCGTTTATTTTGGTGGAGACAAGGGCTCGCTATGTTGCCCAGGCTGGTCTTGAACTCCTGGCTCAAGCGATCCTGCTGTCTCCGCCTCCCAAAGTGGTGGGATTACAGGTGTGAGGCACTGCACCCTGCTCATGTGGCAATTGTTTGGGGTTTACAGTTGTGTTTTTATCTGGAGACATCATTCCAGAGCTTTAGTGTTGAAATTGAAAAAAGGTGGTCCAAAAGTTTGGACGTCTCTGCATGACATTGGCCCTCTCAGCAACAAAACTGAAAATAGGAGACTGAGGAGTTCGCCTTTCCTGGTGCTGAGGGAGTGATCACTGCTAGAATGCTCCAACTGCTAGCCAGGTGTAAGGGCCGAGGAAAGATGTATTCAGATACACACGAACTCAGAATGTTGGCTTCCCATGAACCCTTTCTTGGGAAGTCACTGAAGAATGCCCAGAACCCAAACAAAAGATGAATAAAAGAGATACACATCTGGGCTGGAGAAGCAGGGGACGCCACATGGAAGAGGGCAGAGGGATTCCCGGGGTGACGGTGAAGACCAGGCCAGGCTGAACCACACAGCAGATGGTTGAAACTTGGCGAGACCTCGTCTACAATAAATCAAGAAAAATTATCCGGGTGTGGTGGCCTGTGCCTGCAGCTCCAGCTACTGGAAGACTGAGGTGGAAGGATGTCCGGAGCCCAGCAGGTTGAGGCTGCGGTGGCTGTGAGTGTGTCACTGCACTTCAGTCTGGGTGACAGAGTGAGATAACGACTCACACACACACAAAAAAATAGAAACAAAATGCTACCATCAATCAGTCACTTCTGGAAATCCCTTTGGCAGACCACCACCAAAGACAATTATTCCTGGCCCACACTGGACCCCTCTTCTTTTTTTTTGAGTTGGAATCTCACTCTGTCACCCAGGCTGGAGTGCAGTGGCACGCTCACAGCCACCGCAGCCTCGACCTGCTGGGTTTAGATGATCCTTCCATCTCATCCTTCCAAGTAGCTGAAACTACAGGTGTACACTACCACGCCCGGCTTATTTTTTGATATATTGTAGAGAGGAGGTCTCGCCAAGTTGCCAGGGCTTGTCTCGAATCCCTGGGCTCAGGGAATCCTCTCTTCTTGGCCTCCCAAAGTGCCAGGATTACAGGCTGAGCCACTGCGCCCGGTCTGGACCCCTCCTCTTTGCAGCAGACACTCTCCCTGCTGTCCTGCCTGTTGTGCCCTTCACAACTTATCTTCCCTTTAATAAATCTAACTTTCTTAATTCATCACTGTCTTGGTGAATACTTTTAGCCCTGGCTGTGTCCAGCCAGCCACCCATGACAAGGCAGGAGAAAGTCTCTTGGTCTCCAAGTCGGGGCACTGTGTTATGGTATTTGCATTTAAAGCAGCGAGAGGCCAGGAGCAATGGCTCACGCCTATCATCCCAGCACTTTGGGAGGCTGAGGTGAGAGGATTCCCTGCATCCACGGGTTCAAGACCAGCCTGGGCAACTTGGCGAGACCTCGTCTTTACCATAAATCAAAAAAGTAGCCGGCGTGGTGGAACTATGCACCTGTAGTTCCAGCTACTTGGAAGGCTGAGGTGGAAGGATAGACTGAGCCCAGCAGGTCGAGGCTGTAGTGGCAGTGAGTGTGCCAGTACCCTCCAGCCTGGGTGACAGAGTGAGACCTCAACTCAAAAAAAACAAAAAGAATTTTTAAAAAATACAAAATGCCTGGACGACAGAGTGAGACTGACTCAAAAAAACCCAACCGTGTTGCCCATCGAAGCTGGACTGGATTAAAACAGTGTGGTACATATACACAATGGAATATTATGCAGCCATAAAGAAGGACAAATATATGGCTTTGGCAGCAAATTGGATGGATTTGGAATCTATCATACTCAGTGATTTATCACAGAAACAAAGAACTGAGTTCCCTATGTTCTCACTCATAAGGTGACCTTGAACAATTATAATGCTATAAGAAGGGGGTTGGCAGTGTTAGGGTAGTGGACGGACAGGATGAGGGTGGATGGAGAGATGCAGGGAGGTGCGCAGCACGCCGGGGCTGGCCAAAGTGCGCGCCAGCAACCCAGAGATCTGAGTAGATGCAAAGAATTGCAACACATAGAGGTGAGAGAAGAAAAGATTTATTTAAGAAAAGTTTACCCCCCACAGACAGGGAGTGGGCCTGCACTCTAGGTGAGTGTGGCGTCGTAGCCCCCCAGAGTCCTGGCTTAAATCCTTCTCTTGGAGATGTTGCATGTGACTGCTGTGACTT